GGTACAAGTGAACTTTTCTAGAAATAGAATGTAAATGTTTTGACACAATGACTATGCAAATGACATGAAATTTATGTGAACCAGCTTGATGAAAGTGTTTCAAAATGTATGTGAAAACACTACACTGTACCCCCTGTTTGCATTAATGTATAGAGCTATCATTTAATAAAAAAAATTGGAAGTGTTCATAAATAATAATCTTGAGTTTTCAAATACTTGTTATTGGATGTTGCAGTTGTGTTCAAGTTTACCTGAGAGTCCTATGTGAATAATTGAAAACATTGATTTTATTTGTACTTTATTTATAAATGTACATTTAACCCAACATTTTTTCTGTAAAATTGAAAATTTCCAATTCTGTCACCTCGAAAATTTTTAGCTACAGCATTTCCAAAGATGTAGTCTGGACAGTTTAATGAAAGGTGGCATGAAACATGTGAGTTAAAGAGGGTCAGGCTTCTATACAAGGGTCGGAGACCTACAACCACCTACACACCTCTTACCAGACAAAGAAGATCCCACCATCTGTCACTGTCTGCAAATGTGCACAGATGGGGATAGGTCTACCAAAATTTATTTGTCCGAAGGCTGTGATTCTGGAAAACAGCAGGAGTAATCTGTCCAACACTATTATGTTCTTCCATTTCCAAAATTACAGTTTTATACATAAAAGTGCAAAACAAAAACCATATCAACCTCTATTTCAAATAATAATCAGTATACCTCAATGACCTATTGCAACATTTTAACTTAAAATTTAATCTCCTAAGTTAATCTACTTAAACTATTTAAGATAGGCATCTTTGGGGTGGGAGTTAAATTTAAAGAACAGTAAGAATGGGAGATAGGGACTGAAGGTCAGGCAGGAAGGACCTCAGTCAACCAGATCAGCTGTGTCATGTCTGCCCTAGCCTGTCTGACTCCCATCTCATTCTCACCACATGAGCTTTCATTCTCCACTCTGATTACTACATTTCATGTCTTTGAAATAAAAACAATTATTATGATTTACTGCCCTTGTCCTGGGATTGAATTTATGCAGTTAAGGACTAAGTTTAAAGTTAGTCAGGGAATACCATGGTACAGTTAATAAAAGATAATAAGGGGCACGCTAAGTATAGCAAGAAATGAAGACATCTGAAAATAATATATTTTTTATCCCAAGAACTGAATTTTTTAACTCTTGTCTTCCCATAGTTTTGCAGTCCACTGGCTTTGTTTGAGTTTGCTGGTTTTTCTCAGGGAGATAAGGCTAGATGTGGGAATGATGTAATTCAGACAATTGTACTGCTATAAGGGTCACAAGTAGGAAGTTTCAGAGTCTAGTTGTTCTTGATTTCCTCAGGTCTTTTCTTCTATGTTCTGAGGATAACCTGGTTACCAGCTGGAACATATGTAGGTTTCAGGAAGCAGGAGAAAGAGCCTCTTCTTAAGTAATTTAGAGTGTGTCATAGTGCAGCTTAGGAGGTGACCAGGCATGTTATGACAGAGATTAAAGGTGATCTGCTGGAGGTCTTGAAAAAGTAGTCTGATGTAGAGGGTCTAAGGTGAGCTCAGTAAGTTTTTTTGTCTGGGTGGGTTTGTTACTGGAATGCAGGATCTGGAAGATATATCTCAAAAATTACTCCAGGATAAAGAAGTAAATAGAGGTTCAATCTGGTTTTTTTTATACTGACAGGGACGAAGTCAGGGTTGTGTCTAGGGTAAGAGAATGAAACTATTTAACAGTAACCTACAAATATCTATAAGTTCTGGATTTTGAGGCTAAGGTGTCTGATGAGAGCATTAGTTGTGGGGTTTTTTTGCA